TTACACTCGGAGAAAGTCACAGGTAACAGCTAGTATATATTAAAACTGTTAGAAGAACTGTAATTGGAAGTCATACATTAGTTTGCAGAAATAAACTCGGGGCCGGGCGGCGGGAAAACTGTTTCCACGTCTAAAAATAGTATCTTTAACGAATAAATTAGTTTTGCCAATACATACATTGATATAAATATATAAGGAATATTTTTAAATGACGACTTCGGTGGTTTAGTTGTATAGCACACCGCTTTACGTCCTATGGTCGCGGGTTCGATTCCTCGCACGGCATAAACATTTGTATTCATGATTATGATTGGTTGTACCGTGATGCTATCGTATACTGCCGTTAAATATTCATAATATCGAATTTATTTGATATTTATGGCTTCTATATAGATTATTTATATTCTGCTACCATATATAGGGGTTACATAAGGGTGGGGGTTGTTAGTATCAGGATTAAGTATAACAATGAATAGAATATAATAGCTGTTCTATTCAAAAACATTCATACAAATAAACTTCATTTAAGCACTTTTGAATAGTCATAACAATTTTTTTATCTACCGCTCGTTCGGCTGTCTCATCACAAGAAGAACGAGCAAGAAACTTGTGTGTTGCTCTTTTAAATAATCCTTGTAAGTTTACATTTACAAGTCGAAACGTGTGAATACAAACTTATTTATTACAGCACTAATTTATTAGGGTCAAATATAAATACATAATAAGATTAAATCAGTCGTAGTGATATGAGCAGACCAGTCCCTACAAGCAGCACTCGTTCACGAGTATGACGGATAAGCCAGCCATCACTGCGCTCGACCATATTTTAGGTAGCCAATGTATTTTTTTTATTGAGTTATTTAGGCTATTGTCAGTTGCCTGTAGCACCTGTAGCACTGCGACCTACATAGATCTATTGCGCTCGCCTTTTTTCAGAGTTCGCTACCTAGACCCGTCAGAGACAAGAATTGAAGGATATTCTTAGGAGCGATGGTTTTTGTCTCCTCGGGAAAGAGTGTAAACTTTCCAAAGGAGATATTTCGTTTATGCATAAGTGGGCTACAGCATTGGATGTGTAGTGGCGTTTCCTCTTCAGTTTGGGAATTGGACAGATCGATCTTCACATTAAGGGATAACTGGACTTCTCGCGGTAGATTCCTGGTGAATTAAATACATATATAATGTAGAAATTACTTCCCTACCATGCTACCGTTCTTACCTGGTACTGTTACTGGCACCAGCAGCTTGTCTGCCATTTTTTTATTAACTTTATATATTTGATATCTATTTTTTATGTCACTTTTGACTAATCGTTTTGTTACCTTCCTTCGCTGTGAGCCCTTTTGGGAAAAATACACGTTTTTACTAGTATTTGGTTGTATTAAAATAGTAGTTGTGTACCCGCTCACAGTAACAGGTACTATAAGATACACCGTTAGCTCTGGAGGACTCACAATTTTAAGTACATCCTTAAAAAAACTAGGAGTTATAGAACGATGTTTAGTACAGAATTATTATCTGAATATAATAATAATAATCTAAAGACAATTCACACAGCGCCATCTAGACCTAAGTTCAGCTAGCTAAAGCTTGTGTTATGGGTACTAGATAACTGATATAAATACATAGAACATTTTTTTTTCGTACATACATACATTTACATAGAATACACCCAGACCGATACAAATAATCTTACTCATGAATACAAATGCGCCGTGCGAGGAATCGAACCCGCGACCATCGGTAGTAAGCGGTATGCTACACCGCTAGACCATCGAGACCGTCGAAAAATTAAACTATTAAATTACATTATTAGCCTAGTCTCTGATGTTGTAATAATGTTATAGTGCAGTTCATGGTGTCTCTGGTGCTGTTCCTATTTATAAGCAACTGTTACCATATACCATCAAGTTTAGGGTCTTATTAGACTCATAGAGATGTCGAGATAAGATTAAAAACAATAGACATATATATTATATATGAAGTGTTCGATAATACAGTAGTATCGTATCATCGGTGTCTTATCTGTATTACTTTCATCATAATCTGCCTTATTGCATATCAAATCCTAATTTCTAAGTCTATTATGATTACTGTCGTATAAGCGATACGGCCTGCGTGCTCCGATACAATAAATAACGATTGATTGCATGTGCACCGCGTTACGAGGCGCGTACTTCTGCACCAGCGACGCCGGAGGCTGCGGGCGGCGGCGGCCGAGCGGAAGACGCGGAGGACGCGGTCTTATCGAGCCGAACACTCGCCCCCGCGCCCCGCCGCCGTCTCTCCACCATTTCCCCGCGCGAATTTACAATGTACCCGACCCCCGCCCCGGCCCCCGGCCCACACCGCGGTCACCTCCCGCCTGCACACCGCCGCGGCCCGCGCCTCCGATCTCTACCCTCCGACCCGGCGATAGAGTCGCGACTCGCTCGGCACTCCGGCCGCGCGCGCTCGTGTGCGTGAGATTTTCTCGCCTGGAAATTCTAATGCGCCGAGCGACTGCGATAAAAAATGAGCGGCTCGGGAAACGTGAATACATTACCGAGCGAGACGGAAAGCGGCGCCGCCTCCGCCGCGACGCCCCGCGCCGCGCCGCCTCTCGCTCTATGTATTTTACACTACTTTATATTTTGATTCCGTCTGAAAAAGGGACGGAGGCACGCGTTATGTATGGCCCGCTTCGTGCCTGTTAAATATGTATCTACGTAGATGTCGCTCCAATCGAGCCGCCTCCGGGTCCCTGAGCTTCGGCCCTCTGAAACGTACTCATTCGTTACAATGGAAGTTCGACACACTATTCATTTTTGCGGCGTCGTGTCCTATTCATATCTGATACGATTCAGCGGATGATAATAAAAGTCGGGGCAGTATAAAATTAGTAAAGTACCTGCTACGAACCGGTGGCAACAAATTGATCTATCATAAAACATGAGCTTCTAATAGTTAATTAGTTCCGGTAGCGAGGGTCGGTGTTAGATAGCAGGCGATAATTACTGGGCGTATAAAAACAGGCAATAGAGACCGGGCCGGCGCGGCGCGGCGGTGACAAAAGGGTAAAGTTTTTTGTGTGGGCACGCGACCGCCTGTTTTTCTAAACCTGCCAGGTGCGGCACCTGTCCGCTCGCGGAGTCTCCCGCGAGCTACCCCGCACGTGACCTGCTGTCCTCACTTTTTGTCATCTCCACGCAATTTGTGTCAAGTTTTCGAATAATTGATGGTCTGATGAAAAGGACATTAGAGGACAGGAGAAGAAGGAGGAGAGAAGAAAAGGACATAGAGACAAGTGTAACGGGAGATCCGTTACACTTTTCTCTACGTGTATACGAATTTAAGCAAATTAAAATCTATCAAAATTATCGTTTTTTTACTTAAAATCTATTTTAATCTTACTTGAAATAAATCTATTTTAATCTACTTCTTGTTCTTTTTATTGCTATGTTTTAGTTACACCTTGTAAATGTAGAAAATATATATGTAAAATATTCCTGCTAAAAATATTGCATACGAAAATGTTGATGACCAGAATCTTAAAAATCTTGAAAGAAAGAATCTCGATCGCCTACTATCGTATAAACTAGTTTAGCTCTACTGAAGTTTATAAATTAATGAGTAATATTTGGTTATGTATACCAAGTAACAATTTCTAAATCTTAAATGAAAACATCAGACTGTGTGATTAAAAAAATTATGCACAAACCTTTATTGAAAAAAATTTTATATTTTGAAATGATAGCTAGTAACAATGTTACGAACTTTTTGCCACGCACAACCACATTGTGGAATCACTTCCCAGCAATGGTATATTCGAACCGATACGATATTGAAACCTTCACGAAAAGAGCTTATTAAAAATAAATAAGCTCTTTTCTTGTAGCTCCTTTTAAATTCCTTTTTAAAAGGCCGACAACGTACTTCTACTTCCCTTAGTGTTGCAGATGCTCATGGGCGGCGGTAATCACTTACCATCAGGTGAGCCGCATGCCCGTTTGTCCCCTGTGTTATAAAAAAACATGTATTATGCAGTCGATATTATAGCTAAATGGTTCACACACAACACAACCCTATCCATGTGTTCATCGTTTATGTGATCATATCTCATAATCAACAAGTAGTATAGTAGTAAATAGAAAGATACATATCATTTAGTATTCGACGTACATTTTAAAATCCGCATAATATTACCTTTAAGCTGACCTATAAAATGACCAACTGCTCTTCTATACGTATATACTATTTATTTGTTATTATGTCAATGTGTTGAGACAGTGGGAATGCATTTGCCATTTACCTGCCCTTGACGAGTGACGGTACGATGAAGAGTTTTAAGTATGGATATTTTTTGAAAAACAACTCACCTAGACTGTATATTGTAATAGTAGAAATCCACTGCTTATAAAATATAACTGAAGATAGCTTCCAATCTAGTGCCGTGACAATGCCGCACAGTGGTGAATAACCTTTGTATTTTAGTTTATTATTTCTTTTTATGTGCTTTCCTTGCTCTTTTTTTACATTTAATGTTTATTTTTTACAATGTATATGATATAATACTCAGAGTATAATGTTTAGAGACACCCAAAGGGTAATAGAGAGGGCTATGCTCGGAGTTTCCCTGCGTGATCTCGAATCAGAGTGACCGACATAGTCCGAAGAATTACGACACTAAATTGCCAATTGGCAGAGCACATACCTCGTAGAATAGATGGCCGTTGGGGCCGTAAAGTCCTCGAGTGGCGACCATGGACCGGAAAACGTAGCGTGGGAAGGCCTCCAGCGAGGCGGACCAACGATCTGGTCAAGATCGCTGGGAGGTATTGGATGCAAGCAGCGTAGGACCGATCGTGGAGATCTTTAGGGGAGGACTTTGTTCAGCAGTGGATGTCTTCCGGGCCGAGATGATGATGATGATATGATATAATCATTTATATGCTGCCGTGAGCATCATCATTTGATTATATTCTGATAGCCGTGTAATGTTGAGGATGCTTGTGTTGCAGCGCCGGCGCGAGTCGCCGTCATGCTTGGCGTACCCGGCGGCGCGCGTGCAGCGTCTGCTGCGGACGGCGTACGCGCCGCCCTCGCCGCCAACACCTCCAACACCGCCCACGCCGCCCTCGCCGCCGCCGCTCACCAGGCCCACCAGGCCCACCGTCATCACATGTACGTACTTTGTTTTTAATTCTTTCCTACTGCCGGACTCCTACCGGCTAGAACCCTTCGGCGTCCTCAGCTTGCTAGCAACACTAGAGCTACGGGACTGACTCATTCCGTAGATCTGGTAGCGCATGCTCCGCAGCCTCGTCGTCTAGGCGCGTGAGGGCCATGCTCAGGGGCCACAGACCCATCGCCTCCACTGTCTCATCCGCTCAGCGGCAGCTTCAGCGTCCGCTCGTTAACCCGCAGCTGCACAATATCCGATGCGGTTTGTCGGAACAGAACGACACCTTGTGGCCGTCAATGATGCACTTGTAACTCTCTTAGCACGATTGCGGTGTACCGTCGCCACGCATCGAACGCCTACATGTCCAGCTGTAGAACCACTGGCGCTGCCACTCAGCCGTACACTAACCCATCTTATCACCTGTCAATAGTGCTATACTGTGGCTTTTTTCACGTGGCCGATATAACTTCATTGACCATGATACCATGTAACCCATTTTTTTATTAAATAAAACCTTTATAAAATATAAATTAATACACGACCAGGTTTTCAATTTATTTATATATTTTTTGTATTATTGACATAACGTAAATATGATAACTTTTAATGCATACATTATCCCGGTCCCAAACAGGTTTCACACGGAATGAACTTTCCGAGGTTTTCCCACGCATACACTTAGATATATTGTGGAATGAACTGGTGTTTCTTGCGTTCGAGGTTTTACCATCAGATGACTACTTGATTGCATAGTATAAAAAAATATATATTTAAAAATGGGGATTTTTTCAAGGAGACATACTAGACATAAGCCAGGTCAAATAACAAATTTCATATTAGAACACCGATGGTCGATTCGCTGGAACAGCATAATTATTTGTATCGGTCTGGGTATTTTATATGTATAATATGCATACGAAAGAAAATCTATGTATTTGTATCAGTTATCTGGTGTTTCAGGTCTAGATGGCGCTGTGTGAATTGTTATAAAATTATATTATGATATTTTTTTAAACAAACATTTACATATTGCGTATAGCATCGCGTTAATCGTTTAAGACTGGAGAGAAAGGGGATTTGTTAATGTGGATTGAAGATCTTATTGCTAACAATGTACCATGTCAGGTTGACTGGAAACTATCGTATGAATTTTCACGATCACCTGACCTATCTTATCATCCTCCACTGGTGCCCCGCCAGCGTAAACCGTTAGCGTAGGCACTATTCCATTGTCATCCATAAAAAAAATCTTTTAAGAAATAGAAATAATCTTTATTCAAATAAACTCATTACAAGCACTTTTGAATAGTCATATTTTGATTCTACCACTCATTTGGAATGCAGATTCATCACAAGAAGAATGAGCAAGAAACTTGTGTGTTGCTCTTTTTAATAGATGTTTTTTTATATAAATAATTACAGTATAACAAGTAAGAGGCATGCGATAATCAACATAGAAATCGCTGCGCACTCATTATTAGTGTAATCAGATAATATTGTCAGCGCTATGGATTTTAAATTTTTCTGTCAGAACATTATTATCGTTAACGAATTCTTCAATTTTATAGTAAACTGTTTTGTAAAGGAACTGTTTTATTGGACATTTAAATCTTTTTTCTGGCAGATTTAAAACAGACTGGTATTTTATTGTAAAACCTTACGCAATTGCCATAAAACGAATTACTAACTTTAGCCAAACGACATTTAGGTAAAATCAGTTTGTTATTGTTACGTAAGCTTTCATTAGTGCAGTCACTAACTCTTTTGAAACTGTCTATATTCCTTCTGGCATACATGATATTTCCATAAATGTATTGAGAAGCAACGGTGAGGATATTTGATTCCTTAATACACTCTCGCCATGGAAATGCCGCGGACGAGTTGGCGAGAAGAGGATCAGGCATGACGATACCAGGCCCCTTCCCGCTCTTGCCAATACTATTCTCACAATTTAGATCCTGGATTCACCAAAGTTCCACTGAGATACAAAACCAAAGATGGAAACAAACCACCGATTGCAAACAATCAAAAGTGGCAATTCCCAGAACTAATCAACGAATGACAAAACGCCTACTAAATCTGGACAGGCACAACATAAAAATAATGATAGGGACAATGACGGGCCACTGTCCCTTAAACAAACATATGTACACAATAGGTGCTACAGACAGTCCCCTGTGCCGGGGCTGCTTTGTAGCCGAGGAAACGGCTGCTCACGTAATCCTGGAGTGCTTGCAGTGACCACACAACGCAATCAAATCCTCGGAACGGTGAGGTCGCTCCGTGAAGCCTGCAAAAACACCAGGAGACTTCTGCGCTTCAGGAAGGAGCTTGGCTGGCTACGATAGTAGTCTGTCTCTACACGCACAACGGCCCAAATGAGAGGCCAATTGCGGAAAATGGAGTCCAACATACAATACAATACACTCTCGCCATAACGTATAGAAAACACAAGTTATTCACTTTCAGCGCGGTACAGGTGTTATACAAGTCATACAACAATGGATGGGTGATTAGCGCCGACAAAGCGACAGTTCCTGGCCAATAAATTAGCAGTGCTCTAGAGGAGTGGCGTTATTTATGGAGCGTTGTTTACCTTGCGGCAAGAAAAATTACTTAATGGTAATTATGATTGCCGCATGCATTCTTATGTAAAATGTGAATACTATAACTATCAGATGGCAATTGTAAGTAGCTTTGACGTGGTCTAGTGTTTTGAGTAGTCATGCTCACTAAAATGTCCAGACTTGTGGCGGCGTGGTGGGTCGGGTCATTGGGCTCCCTAAAATATGGTCGAGCGCAGTGATGGCTGGCTCATCCGTCATACTCGTAAACGGGTGCTGCTTGTAGGGACTGGTCTGCTCTAATCACTATGACTGATTTCCTCTTATTAACTGTTTAACCAGTTGGTTATATATTCAATATTTTTTCTATTTGAGTATTTAATTGAATTAGTGCTAATTGGTGGTTTGTATTCACACACTTAAACTTAAAAATATAAAGTAATAATAAAATTATTTAAAAGAGCAACACGCAAGTTTCTTGCTCGTTCTTCTTGTGATGAGACAGCTTTCCGAATGAGCGGTAGATTAAAAAAATGTAATGATTATTCAAAAGTGCTTCAATGTAAGTTTATTTGAATAAATGATTTTCTATTCTATTCTATTCTATTCTATGATTTGCATGAACGGATGGCTAATGATCGCTGCGTGACGTCATCGCGGTGGTAGCTGTAGAATAGAATAGAATAGAATAGAATAGAAAATTTACGTAATGCCAACTGAAAACAAGCACGTTGCTAGGGTTGCCAACATTTTTTGACAAAATTAATTTATTTGAAAAAAAAACGTTTTAGAATTTTTTTTTCAAATGTTTTTTTGCTTTTAAAATGTATTTTAGTGTGCTTTTAACACTAGAGTTGTGGCAAATGTCTCAACTCACAATTGACATCTAACATTTCGTTCAGTAATTATAAATCGTTATTACTACGACCGATTTAATTTTTAATCATTTTTAATCATTACATAGTAGAAAATAAAGTCGCTATCGCTGTCTGTCCGTCTCTATGTAGGTTTAAATCTTTAAAACTACGCAACGGATTTTCAAGCGGTTTCTTTTAGTAGATAGAGGGATTCAAGAGAAAGGTTTATATATGTAATACATGTACACCCGTGCGAAGCAGGGTCGAGTAGTTAGTTTATAATAAACAGTAATTTGCAATTATTATTCAAGCTCGCCAACTTTGTCAGGCATACGTTTAGAGTTATTAAACTATTATTAAATAACATAGAAATAGTTGAAATACAAAAGTGCAAAATTATTTTATGTAACAGTAATTTTAAATTCATATTTGCTCCATTTCAGAAAACTACACAATTTATTTATATACCAATACAGATATTTCAAAACCCATTTGATAAGTAATTCACTAATGGGTATCATTCTATTTTGAGCTTAATTATTATTGTACAAAGATATAAACTGGATTGTCAGTGCGATCGTTGCATGTACCTAATAAGCCAGTCCGGTCGGTGCGCCTCTTGACAGATATCGCATGCATAAATCCATCGAGATACTAACGTGTATCATATTATGATTGCATACTGCATATATTTGCACATGAAATGTACAGGGTATGTGCAAAAACTGGCATGCCGCTGTCTATCGAGTTCGCTCTGTGTATATTTACCAGTAAGTTACACATATTCATGCAAAAGGTAACCAACTGCATTAAGGTATTCAAATAATGTCACTTTAATTACACTGGCGATTCATTATCACAATACACATATGTCGTGTCGTATAGTTAGTAGTTCTACTAACTGTATAATATTACTATAATAAATGATCGGGACATAGTCGAGTACATATTGTTAGAATTCACATCATTATTGTAGAAAAAATCCGATATTTTAAAAATATATTAAAACAAGGTAGTTTGTTTTTAGTACTAATGAAGTAAGTATAAGTAACGATCGGTTTAATATTGTCAAAGTTTCATACAAATTTTCATCCCCTATTTTATCCCCTTGGGGGTAGAATTAATCAAAATCCTTTCTTAGCGGATGCCTACGTCATAACATCTACCTGCATGCCAAATTTCAGCCAGATCCGTCCAGTGGTTTCCACTGTGCGTTGATAGATCACTATGTCAGTCACCTTTGAGTTATATATATTTAAATACAAAACGCCCAGATCAACAATCATGCTCATGAATACAAAATATTTGTGCCATGCGAGGAATCGATCCCGCGACCACCGGCCGTAAAGCGGTGTGCTAGACCGCTAGACTACCGAGGTCGTCAAATATACGTTACGATAGTATACTTTTTTTTTCATTTGGTGACTGTTAGTGGCTCTAATGTATTGGAGATTATTATCCGAAATATTGATATGCATCTGTCACCACGTTTACACAATATCGGTCACTAATAGTACACCTTACGGTTCATATTTGTATAAACCTGGACACGAGCCTGGTTGATTGGCGCGGCGCCAT